CCTCACAGAAGTTCACGAGTTTCAAAATTTTTTTTCTACTTACAAGACAGCAATTGTCGTTTATTCGTTTCGAAATTTTGGGCGTGGTCATCGGCCCCTGTACGATGGTACTCGTTTAGTTTTAGAGACTTAAGGACAAATCCTTTATACGTTACGATTAATGTACTATGAAAACGCTGAGCATTACAAGCTTATACTTAATTTGATCGGTGCAAGCGGTAGTTGCGGATACTGTATACCACGCAATAAGAGTTATTGGCGTATCAAGGATTACAGATGCTCCAAAAAATGCTACAAGTGTATGCAATCTTGTCTTTGCGATGTGACGGGTCCATCAAAAAAGTTTGATTCGTGCCACAGATTATTTTTTAACTTCACGTGTTTTGAAAATCATTTAAAAATGGTTCGTATAACAAATCTTTTACCGTTTGCGAAAAAATAAAAATTTGCTCGTTATGTTGCAAAACTGTGCAAATATCAAACAAGAAACATCAACATCAATGCGGTATTTCTTTTTGTTGCAATTGCGAAGAGTATTCACCAGTAAATCATTAATGTTACATTCAACCATTAAAGTTGAACAGCAAAAAATCTAACTTTTTAATATTATTCTACGATTTTTAAACGCAACAGACAACACCCATCGTGGGTGATGAGGAAAATAAAATCCACGAAGTAAATCTGTATATTGTTCAACAAGTTTGTAATGCTTGTAGCAACGTACAAGATATTTCGATAAACTGCAATCATTGCGGCATTCGAGAATATATTTTTCAAACTAATCTAATCGAACAGTTGGTGGATCTTGCTTCCGACCATCAAAAATATTTTGACAAGATCATTTGCATAGCACACAATTCAGAAGGATTCGATGCTCAATTTATTTTTAAGTATATAGTGGAAAAACACGGCGAACGAGTAGTACCATCCGTCATCATTAACGGATCAAAAATAATATTGATGGAATTTATGAAAATAACATTTATCGATAGTCCTAATTACTTTCATATGCCTTTAAGTGGCTTACTTAAGTAGTACGGTCTGTCAGAAATTGAAAAAGGTATTTTTCCACATTTTTTTAACAAGCCCGAAAATCAATCGTATATAGGTCCTCTACCGCCGCTCAACGTATATTCACCCGATAGCATGCACACGAAAGATCGAGATCAGTTTTTAAAATGGTACAATGAAAAAGTAGAAAAGAATTATATATTTGACTTTAAAAGTTAAATTATAAAATACTGTAGGCAAGACGTAAAAATTTTAAGATAAGCTTGCTTAGCTTTTCGAAAAACTTTTGAAAAATTCGAGGTGGACCCTTTTGGGGAATGCACAACGATCGCTTCGACCAGCATGCGTGTGTATAGAAAAAAATTTGTAAAAAAAATCAAATTGGTATAATACCACAAAAAGGTTACAGAGTGGCTAACAATCAATCTAAAATAGCTTTAAAATGGCTTTATTGGATGGAAAAACACGTTCTCCAGCGATTTCTCCAACACGTTGGACACTGCCAAGAGAGACGCTTACCAGAAGGTATCCTCGTCGATGGATACTGTTCTCCTCTAGATGGTGTGCATGATCATCGTGAAATCGTATACAATTCCAAGGTTGCTTGGGTGCCCACGGTGTTACCGAATAAACCGCGATACCATTTTGACGACCGGAGATGCAATGGATGATAGATATGAGAAAACTTGCGCGATTAACGAAAAGATAAGAATGTCAAATTATGAGTTGATAGAAAAATGGGAATGCAACTTAAACCGTGAAATACGTGAAAACGAAGAACTTTTAAATTTTATTCGAGAAAATGAAAATTATTGGAGTAGAAAACCATTAAATCCACGTGATGCATTTTTCGGTGGTCGAACAGGAAACACTGTAAAAATTTACGATTGTCAGGATGGAGAAAAAATTAAATACGTTGACGTATGCTCTTTGTATCCATATATTTGCAAACAAGGTATATTTCCATTGGTCATCCAACGTTATACTCTAACGAAGGGGATTGTAAAAAAATAATAGGTGACAATAATGATATTTCCTAAGTAAATGGATTAATTATGTGTGATGTGCTACTACCTAAAAATCTGTATCATCCTGTATTACCTGTGAAAATGCACGATAAGCTTATTTTTCCTTTGTGCCGTACGTGTTGTGAGAATATGCTTCAAGAGCACTGCACCCACGACGATGAAAGAGATCGCATTCTAAGAGGTATATGGGTATCCAAAGAAGTCAAGGTGGCTGTTCGCGTAGGTTGTATCGTTAAAAATGTTTATGAAATATATCAATATCAGGTAACACAGTATAATCAAGAAACGGACAAAGAAAAATTGTTTGCACATAATATTAACTAGTTTTTTGAACAAAAAACGTTAGCTTTGGGTTACCCACCTACCTGCATATCTAATGAGCAAATGAAGTTCTATATCGACGAAATCTGTAAGGGGTAAATTTGGTCAACGTGAAAATTTTACAAAGACTGAGGTGGTGACGGTCCCAGAAAGAATAATGGAATGACTTATGAGTGCAGAAATCGATGTTAATGGTGTTTTACCCGTCAACGATAATACGTTGTACGTAAATGGAATTATAAGACTGAGGCCTGGACGTCATAACCGTCATGTGGTTGCCGCTTTTGTGACGGCACAAGCACGCTTAGAGCTTTTCGAGTATCTGCATTTTCTAGGAGAACGTACTCTCTAATACGACCCAGATTCCGTTTTTTATGTTCCCCGAGAAGTACTGAACGATTTACCCATTGGCATGACACTAGGCAGTCTCACTGACGAATTGGCCGATAAAGGGATAAAGGAGTTGGCACATACATTTCTTAGTTTTTATCCGGCGGGCCAAAGTTTTACGCATATAAGATTAAAAAACCCGATGGTGGTGAAGATTATGTTTGCAAAGTGAAAGGTATCAAGTTAAATTACAGCAATAGTCAAAATATAAATTCAGACACGATTCGTGAGCTTGTTATGACTAATATTACGGAAATAAAATTGTCCAATTTTTCCATTCGACGTACAATTTTTCACGATGTAGTGACTCAACCGGAAATAAAAACACGTCAACCAGTCTATAGTAAAACATATTTTGACAGCAGGACCACGAGTTATCTGTATGGTTACCAACATGATGTCGCAGGAGAAGGGATATAATACATCAGAGTAGGGAAAAACACTCACTCGGTCGAGGTACGACAAAGCTGTTGATTGGTTCATTTCCCTTTTTACAACCGATGCATCAACAAGTAAACGACAAGATAGTTTCGAAGCATAGCAAAGCAAACGCTACATCCACGAGCTCTAGGAATGATAATGATGATTGTCGAAAACCGCTTATAGAAAAATCATGTGAAAAAATAAATAAAAAATACGTTTCCCAAAATAATTTTCTGAATTCGAAAAAAATGGATACAGAGTCGTAAAAGATAGTTAATCCAATTGCAAAAATCGGACCTTTTCAGAACCAACACATTACTTATTTATACTAGGTAAAAATGTAATTGATTACCTGATACTCGTATCGGTGTTGCGTCGGATGTTTAATGAAATATGATACATATTTTAAAAAAGATGACATCAGCACATTCTTTACCACGAAACTTAAACCATGAATACAAAAATCACCCTTACGTACCGAAAAATGTATTTGATCGCCTTATACTCGCGTCAGCGCATTCTTAAAACCTGAATTATAGCACAGGGGTCTTATGCTACCCTAATGACTGCGTCTAAGTGACGAAGATATCTAATTTATTAATAAACTAAAAAAGAGGGAAACCGCGAAGCAAATACAAAATACAAAATAAAAAACGTGAGACAAGCAACACTATGATGCAAAAAAGTTTCTAAATTTAAGGGCAACAATTTAACAGCTAAATTATTAAACTACCTTTACCATAAATGAAAAGAAATTAATTATGAAAGCACTTACGTTAATTAACGAAGGATAGGATAGGTCGGGTTGAACTAAATAAAAAACACTATTTATGAGCCACTGATGAAGATGTGATTTGTGGCTAAAAGGAGAAAGCTCTTGCGAGAAAACCCCCTAAGAGGGAAAAACGACCGATACAAAATTGAATACAACAAGATTTACAACCTGGTTTGAATTGATGTGTAGATTTGGAGGTGTAAATGTGTGAAAGTGTGAAGGTAAGTGCGCGTCCGCACTGTTCTCCTCCTCGTCTTCGTACCACGGTTCCGCGAGTGCGGATGTTCGCCGTGGGTGCTCACAGCACGTGGTGAAAGTTGACGGGGCACGCGGATGTAATTTAAATTCGGACGAACAAAAAGAATTAATACAAGATACACGTTAATGCGTCGCGGTGCAACGAAAAACTTCTCGAAAAACTCAAACGAGCAAAATTTATCCTAGACAAGCTACGTACACGATTTCTCAGAAAACAACTGGAGACCGCTCTGTACAGAGGCAAGTATCGGACTGGACGAGGCCTACCAAATTTTGCCAGTGGAGACGCCTGTTCTCTCTCCCTCGACCCCCCCCCCTCCTTACTAATGATGCGCGCCAATTAGCGGAGGTGTTATTTTTCTCGAGTGTCGATTGGGCGTCGGGACGTGAACAATGCCAAAGATGAACGATATATACTTATAAGTCGGTTTTGAAGGGAGAGAGAGAACGAAAATCTAGAGCATAATAAGAAACGCGCGCAACGAATGTGTGTAAAAGTAAATGAATTTAAGTGTGGTTTAATGTATTGATGAGGACGAACGTGCTGTGAGCTTCGATGCTCCTCCGCTCACGTGGCAGTACTCGATTTAGTCGTGTTCGACTAAACATGCCCCCCCCCGTTGCGAGGGTAGCGAGCAAAAACGTAAGTCGTAAGCGTTTCTTGTTCGATAATGTAGTCGATCTACCTCCTTGTATAGGTGTGTGCGTGAGCGTGTGTGTATAGATACAAATACATGAAATAAGTATAAAACTCCTTTTCAATACAATAATCCCGATAATAATGTGATCGATGTTCACGTTTTTTGTGTAGAAATTGGTAGTGGGCATAACTGCGTGACGTTGCGCTTGAATCTCCCTTGAGCTGTTTTGACGGTGACTACTCGAGTGATGCCATCGGCGCCTGGGTGGATCTCGACGACAACTCCCAACCACCAGCGCATGCACGGTTGATTTTGGTCGATGAGTAAAACGATCGTATTTTCTTGAATTTCGTGATTAGATTCACTCCATTTTTGTCCACGCTGCAGCTCGTGAAGGTACTCCAAATACCACCGTTTCCAAAAGTCCTACCGTGCCTGGGTGATAAAGCGCCAAACTGACAGCCGGTTACCTGGAACAGAAGACAGATCACCTTCTGGCAAAAATTCAAAGGTCGTCCAATTAATAAATGCGCCAGCATAGTAGCTGTTAAATCATTAGGATCGTTAGATAAACTATAAAGTGGTCTCGAGTTCAAGATTGCTTCGATTTCTATCGCAAGGGTGTTGAGTACTTCGAAAGTAAGTAATTGTTGGCCGATTATCCGATTAAAATGATGCTTAAACGACTTGACGGCTGATTCCCATAATCCACCATGGTGCGGTGACAGTGGGGGATTAAAATGCCAAACGATATTTCTTTGGACAGAAAAATGATTAACATCGTCACGGAATTGGTCGGAGTTAAACATATTGTACATCTCTTGTAGTTGATTATTGGCTTCAACGAAATTCGTGCCGTTGTCAGAAAACATGTGACTCGGGATGCCTCGTCAGCCACAAAATCGCTTGAAAGCTCCCAAAAAATCTTCAGTCGTCAAGTCACTTACTATTTTGAGATGTACGGCTTTGGACGCCATGCACACAAACACACATCCGTAAACTTTCACTCGATTCCGATTTCGTAATTTTTTCTCTTTAATGTATAACGGTCCGAAAAAATCCACCCCTACATGAGAAAACGCGGCTGCTTCTGTTACACGAACTGACGGCAAGTCTCCCATCTTACTGTGAACAGGTATCGGTCAATTTCGCACGCACTCCACGCATTTTCGCACTACATGTCTGACTTAGTGTTTTCCGTCTAAAAGCCAAAAAAGATGTCTAGTTGTGTGTAGGGTAGTTTGAATCCCTGCATGCAATGTATATCGATGTTCATCGTGAATAATTTAATCCGTGACGTGATGGCGCGATGGTAACAAAATCGGATATTTTTGATCGAAAGAAATTTTTGCGTTTTTCAATCACCCACCTACTCGCAAAAGACCCTGCTCATCAAAAAAGGGATCGAAGGCTGATAGACGAGTATTTTTTACCGATTTTGACGAAGACAAACGCTCGATCTCGTCGGAAAATTGATCTTTTTGTATCTTACGTAATATTACTCGATCGGCTTCCCTCCTCTCTTCCACGCTAATATTCTTTCCCTTAAATTTGTTGACCCGACTGAACTGCAGACAAAAAGCCATTACATTGACTAGTTTTGAATAACAAGAAAATCGCAAAAAACTTTCTATTATTAAACACGTTTTAAGTTTTAATCCCGGTAATTCGCTCGGTGATGTTAAAACTGGTTTTGGCCATTCGTTTTCTGGTCGCTTGAGCCATGCGGGACCGCTAAGCCAAGTTTCGCTTTTTAAAAATTCGATCGATACTTGATTCCGCGAAAGTGCATCGGCAATATTGTCTTTTCTTCGCACATGCATCCATTCGTGAACTGCATCCATTGCCTGAATTTCATTAACTCGATTTGCCTCGAAAACTTCAAGAGCTTCCAGTGATTTTTTAAGCCAATGTAAAACGATCGTTCAATCCAACCAAAAAATTATTTTATTAACATCGAAATCAAGCGCTGGACGCATTTCGTCAAACAAACGTTCAAGAAGCAGTGCTCCGCATAATTCTAGCTGAGGAATTGTTTTTATTTTTACCGGTGCTACTCGAGATTTCGCACACGCAAGACGCACAACGTAATTCTCATACCGATCTGTAGAACGCACATATATACACGCACCGTAACCTGCTTGACTTGCGTCACAAAACCCGTGCAACTCTATCGTCACTGCGCTAGCGATTAAAAGTTTCCGATTCATGGCAAAATTTTGAACAAGAGAAAGCTGACGCGCAAATTTAATCCACCGAGTGTAAAGCTCCTGTCGTACCGATTCATCCCAATTGCTCTTTGCCCTCCAACAGTATTGTATCATGATTTTCGCATACAATACGATTGTTCCCAAAGAACCCAGTGGATCGAAAATTTCTGCGACTTCCGAAAGTATATGTCGTTTCGTGATCGTACTAGGAAATTTAATCTCTTTAACCGTATACATAAACGTATTTGAGCGCGAATCCCATACTACCCCGAGGGTTTTCGAAACTGATTCCGTTCTTACCGCACATGCACTCTCAAAAATTTTCCGATCTAAAGTTTCGAACGCGTGTTGATTATTAGATGCCCACTGTCGAATGTTAAATTTACCACGCCCCAAGATACCAATAATTTCATCACGTATCTTTGATAGCTCTTTGATGGACTGTGCGCCCGTCAAAAGATCGTCAACATATAAATCACGTTTCAACATTTTAGCCGCTCGCGGAAAATTGGCTCCTTCATCGTCAGCTAGCTGGTGAAGTGTGCGAATTGCAAGGTAGGGAGCGGACGCGACTCTGAACGTGACTGTGTTGAGCTCATACACCGCGATTTCCTTCCCATGGTACCAAAAAATACGCTGATATCGCCTGTCGTCGGGATGCACTAAAACTTGTCAATACATTTTTTCTATGTCTGCCGTTAACACGAACGCATAGGATCGAAACCGCATCAAGTGTTCAAAAAGTTAAGGTTGAATGGTGGGGCCTACCAGTAGTTTTTGATTTAACGAGACGCCTTGATTGGTGATCGCAGACGCGTCGAATACTACTCGTACTTTTGTCGTATTGCTCGACGATTTTATGACCGCATGATGTGGCATGTAATACCCGTCGAATATTTCGTTCTGCAACAACATCATGTGTCCTAGTGCTATATATTCGTCAAGAACCTTCGTATATTTGCGATTAAGTTCACTGTCCGCTTGTAATTTTCAGCGCATCGCATGAAACCGACGAAGAGCTTGCGCGCGAGAGTTTCCTAAATCTGGTAGTTTATCATTGAATGGAAGACGCACAATCTACCGCCCGGTTTGATCGTGTGTCGTATTTTTTAAGTAATGCCGCTCGCATAGAGATTCCTGATTTGATACGCTCACTACGTTTTTTACTTCTTCGATTTCCCAAAATGTCACTAGCTGTTCAGTTAACGCACTTAAATTGCATGTCACTGCCGATTTTTTGAAGTTGTTCGAAATACTGCCCGCGATCACCCAACCTAGTTGTGTTTTTTGTAAAATTAAATCTCCGTGATTACGTGAAAGGTTTATCTGACCAACCGATAAAAATGACAATGTAGCCCCTGAACCAATCAGCATATATATCAGACGTGGAACGTGAAATCACGGATCAGCAAGTTTTACATTTGGTGGTATGGAAATTGACGCGGGCGGAAATGGTTCGTCCGGTACAAAATCTGCAATTCACGGAATCGTCAGAAAAGTTAACGTTTTGGAAAAATCGGTAGTGTGTGACCTAAAATTGATCTCTACGCTGTACTTCGTATTGGTATTTAAAGAATTAATCGCGCCTACGGGGATTGAGCATGCATTCAACGGTAAATTTAATTCACGAGCAAATTTTTTCGTTACGAAATGAGCAGTCGCACATTTGTCCAAGAGCGCGCGCGCCTCGACGAAGTTGCCCCGAGCATTTTTGACTCTAATCATTGCGCTAATCATTAATTGCGGCTGTGACGCTCGAGTACTCGTCTCTAGCGCGCTCGCTCCCAGTCAAACGCTGGACTTTTCGACCTTTTTCTCGCGATGTAAAGAAGTATGGTGTTGGTCATTGCACTTCCTACACGCCCCCGAATGATGACCTAGACAATTCTTACACAGGCTCTTTAATTGAACGAATTTCCATCGATTCTCTACACTCAACCCGCTGAACTCCAAGCACGAATAAATACGATTGGCCCAACTAACGCGCGCGCAGACAAATTAAATTTACCCTTTTTCGCAGTCTCCGATTCTCGCTCTCCCTGACGCTTGTTACCACCTCTTTCTCCTTTCACACGCGAAATCTCCGTTTCCATCGTCGAAAGTCGAAACGTCGTCGCATTGACAAATTTATAAAATTGCGTGAGTTTCGAGAGCGCGTCCAAATCCAATAACTCTTTCCATTACTGACGAATACTAATCGGTAAAGCCCGCTCCAGCAATCGCACTATTATTGTATCGTCCAAAACTACGCCTAAGGAAGACAAAACATTTAGATGCTGGTGAGTGTCGTCCACCAATTTCGATGGCCCTTGTGCATTTGCAGCCTCTAACGGTTTAAAATCTATAAGCGCGTCTAAATGTTTTGCCACCAGAATTCTTTTTCGATCGTACGCATCGATAAGTAACTGCCACGCGCTTTTGTAATTGGCTGCGGTCGCGTCGAAAATCGAGATTTTATTGAGCGCTTTCCCCTGTAACGCGTCCTTCAAGTAAAAGAATTTAACGAGGTCATCGATGTCCGTGCGTGCGTTAAGCATCGTTTCGAATGCATTTTTAAACGTTATCCACCTATCGAACTGCCCATTGAATTTTGAAAGCTCGGCAACCGGTAGCTTCAGAAGCTTTTGCTTTTCGATAAAGGATGACGTTGCTAAGGGATCGCCGCTGGGAGTCGGGTCTGACTGAGCATCAGCTGCCGCAAATATCGGCTAAAGTTACGCTGCTACCGTGTAATACCGATCAGAGATGTTCGTCATCTCGGTCACGTGCGCATCATTGGGGTCGATCACCTCGAGCTCGTCATTCAGCTCCTCGTACGCGTTAAATAACTCCTTCACGCGATCGAATCTCAGCCGAGCCTTCACCGTATCAAACGATTCTTCTGCCGTCAACGTCTCGAGCGCCGTGAGTTGTCCCTTTAGCGTGGAGCGTTTCTGCATAAGAACCTTGGCTCGTAACATTTTCGTTAAACCGATGATCAATAACGCACAATAAACCCAATATAATGGAAAATGAATGAAACTCGTAATACTCTCGTACAGAAACACCCGTAGAATAATTTAAAAACCCGAATTATATGACAAAATTAAAAAAGAGATCAAAAGGCCCCACTAAAAATAATAAAACCCAAAACTCGAAGGCTAATAAGAAAAAATGTTATTCTGATGTTGCAAAATCTAACTTACTAATTTACTATCAACAATAAAAAACGAATTAAATAATTTCCGTAGTATTTGTAGTAAGTTTGAGGCCCAGCAATTTCGACACAGATAATTAAAATGAAATTAAACCCAAATAATAAAGACACTACACGATGAGACGTTGGATAATAATACGACGCCATTCGAAAATACAAGAAAACTAAAAAAATTAGTCTAATCGTGTGAAAACGTTCGACCGGAAACGAACAACACCAAGAATGCGACCTGTGACACTAGCTGGCTCGAGCGCGTCTTACTTCCCCCTCTTTTTCTCGTCCTAGACTGCGCTCGTTGGACGCGTGATCCTGAACACGCGCTACCTCCCCCACTAGCCTTTTTTGGCGCAGTTGGCACAAATTCACTTACACGCACTAACACTCTCACTCGCAAGAAAAACAATGCACCGAATTTTCCGCACTTATCAATATGCTTCTCTTTCTGATTTTTATGCACTTTACAATATATATGTATAACAAATAAAACTGTTTGTTATGTTAAATTAAACGCTCTAAGGAAAATAGTGCTACGAAAAGGTAAGGGCTCAAATCGAGTATGAAGTAGACAAAGCTGAAGAAGGAAAAATAAAATAAGCAAGAGTAAAGGTAGAGTGCAATGCAAAAAAAATAATAGTACAGACAAAGAGATAAGAATTTATACAAATAAGCGAGGAAAAGAAAGGATAAACGCGCGCGCGAGAGAAAGAGAGAGTGGAGATGTAAGCTAGAGTTATCGTGAAAGTTGGGAATCGAGCGTAGGTAAGAGGAAAAGAAATTCAGTTGAAGAGAGAGAAAGCGAGATAAAAAGATGAGGTTAAGTTCACAGTAAAGAGCGTTCAATAAAAATGTTGGGCACTTAGCTTTTTCGATGGTGCACGTGGCGGCTGGACGCGAGATCTCCTTCGTTGGCACCAATGGCAAAAACCACAATGATCTTCCTGCAACTCTCTCGATAATTGTCGTCGTAGCTGTTTGCTCTTCTTCAAAATTGAATGACAAGCGAATGATGTGCCAAAATTTCTCAGCGTAAACGAAACGAAACGACCGAAAATTCGAGAATACACGTAACAGCACCAGAAAAAAACGTTTTTGAAATCACGTCGGGGTCACCATGAATTGTATCACAGGGGTCTTCTGCTACCCTAATGACTGCGTCTAAGTGACGAAGCCATCTAATTTAATAATAAACTAAAAAAGAGGGAAACCGTGAAGCAAATACAAAATACAACATAAAAAACGTGAGACAAGCAACACTATCATGCGAAAAAGTTTCTAAACTTAAGGGCAACAATTTAACAGCTAAATTATTAAACTACCACTACTATTAATGAAAAGAAATTAATTACGAAAGCACTTACGTTAATCAACGAAGGATAGGATAGGTTGGGTTGAAATAAATAAAAAACACTATTTATGAGCCACTGATAAAGATGTAATTTGTGGCTCAAAGCAGGAAACTCTTGCGAGATGACCCCCTAAGAGAAAAAAACGACCGATACAAAACTGAATACAACAAGAATTACAACCATGTTTGAATTGATGTGTAGATGTGGAGGTGTAAATGTGTGAGATTGCAAAGGTAAGTGCGCGTCCGCACTGTTCTCCTCCTCGTCTTCGTACCACGGTTCCGCGAGTGCGGATGTTCGCCGTGGGTGATCACAGCACGTGGTGAAAGTTGACGGGGCACGCGGATATAATTTAAATTCGGACGAACAAAAAGAATTAATACAAGATACACGTTAATGCGTCGCGGTGCAACGAAAAACTTCTCGAAAAACTCAAACGAGCAAAATTTATCCTAGACAAGCTACGTACACGATTTCTCAGAAAACAACTGGCTCTGTAGAAAACTGAAAACAGACCGCTCTGTACAGAGGCAAGTATCGGACTGGACGAGGCCTACCAAATTTTCCCAGTGGAGACGCCTTTTCTCTATCCCTCGACCCCCCCTTACTAATGATGCGCGCCAATTAGCGGAGGTGTTATTTTTCTTGAGTGTCAATCGGGCGTCAGGACGCGAACAATGCCGAAGATGAACGATATATACCTATAAATCGGTTTTGAAGGGAGAGAGAGAACGAAAAACTAGAGCATAATAAGAAACGCGCGCAACGAATGTGTGTAAAAGTAAATAAATTTAAGTGTGGTTTAATGTATTGATGAGAACGAACGTGCTGTGATCTTCGATGCTCCTCCGCTCACGTGGCAGTTCTCGATTTAGTCGCGTTCGACTAAACAAAACAGTTGCGACGAATGTTTGATAAAACTTGGTACATATTTCGAAAACTGTGACATTAGCACATTCTTCACCACGAATCTTTAACCTTGAAAAAAAACTATCTCGATGTCAGTTACTCGTGCGACTTTAACCTCAAAACGGGCATGAATAAGGAGGAAACTTTGTAATAAGGTAGTCTTGATCATGCGCAATTGGTGCTCCAACCGCCGCGACGTTACAAGTCGATTGGTCACCATCCATGAGCGATGGTGATGCGCGGCGGCGGCGGCGCACAGTGGGGAAAAAGTGAGGTTTTTCATCCAAACGCACTTTCTGAAGTCAATTTATATCGAATCAAGCCTTTTTCTTTTTGAATATTCGTCAGAAAATTTCCTATTGATTCCTCTGGCTTGATTTTCAAGTTAAAAGCTTATTTTTTAGTTATATCGCATATAACCTCAAAAAATTTAATTTTTCACAACTTATTTACCATATTGATTCAATCACTATGAAAAACGCATTAATTTTTGCTTGCAAGACTCGTCAAGGTCACTGGTTAAATATTCTTCGTGAAACATAATTTTCAAGATGGCGGAATCAAAATGGCGGCCGAAAAAAAAATTGTTCACTCAACAATCACCAAATCCTATACAAAATGATAAGTAGGAGTTTTTTAGGATGTTGATCGATGATTTCTCACCAAATCCATTAAGTTAAATATGGCTGATCAAATATGGTGGATGCACTTTTTGCAATATATGAAAAAATTCTCATAAAAGCCGACATTTTGTACACTTTGATGATACTAACAACGTATTAATTGCCTAAAAAGATTTAACTAATAGTAATGCACTCAGGTTTCTGTCTTATTTACAACCTGAGTTCTTAGTCATCTTCTGTATAACCTCAAAATAATTATCTTCTTTCGTATTTGTTCATTAAATATGCGTATCTACGATGAAAATTATGTAAATTTTTTTATTAAGAGTTTTTCGGACACAGTTACTTAACAACCCACTTGCTAGTATGTAGATGGAAATCCACGTGGAGATCCACGTTGATATCCATAAAATATCGACGTGGATTGACATAGATCCCACTTGAATATTTACGTGGATATATACGTGGTTTTTTAATTGAATATTTACGTGAATTCTTTATCTGCATTGCAACTATAACATAGACATTAATTTTAGAATGACAATTGAATCTATTACATGTGGATAAAACATGTACATGTTAATATGCTAATCTATGCTGATTTTTATATGCTGCTTACAAAAATGTCCATTTGTACGTAAAAGTAATATGTGAGTATACGTATCCCAACGAAATCTTTGTGGGTGTTAACGAGAAGTCATTGTGTGTAGCCAACAGTTTTGAAAATTGTCAATCTGTGTATGTACTACGGAACATACGTTATTCTTAATCAACAACACCAAGATCCCTGGTGTACCACACGTTTGTTAAGTGTTAGCATATCCTGTGGTGGTACAACACCTTAAATTCGTTAACTTATGAAGCCTAAAGCAATCCGAGCCATGCGAGCACTCGAATTGTTTGTATTGCTCTAAGTCTCATAATCGAACAATCATTTACTGATGCATCAGTATTGCATTGTAACAGTATTTTTTTGTCTTGCTTGGTGCCCATTTGTCTTGAAGCCTATGCAGACGGTAATACAGTAAAAGTGTGGGAAAATAAAAAACCATCATCAACTCAGCACTGCCGCACTATACAATTTGAATATACAAAAGAATCAGCCGATGTTTTAAATGCAGAATTAGATAGTCTAAATAAACAAGAAGATCAGTTACAACCAACAAAAATCAATATCCAGGGCTTAAGCATGAGCGTTGAACATATTTTGCTATGTACAATGGTGGATGGAAAAATAAGACAAATCAGGACTGAAACGGCTGCAGCTAGTAGATGCTCGTTGTGTAAGGCTTTGCCTCGAGAAATGAATGATCTCAATAATATTTTGAAAAAAAAAATTAATGTATCTGACTACCAGTACGGGCTTTCGACATTACACGCATGGATACGGAATGGATGTGTCATGTAGGATACAAACTACCTGTTAAAAAATTTAATCAAGTCTTGACTGATAAAGAGAATCAATTAGTAGCTGCAAACAAGGTCAGATTTTAAAATGAAATAAGAGATAAGGTGGGTATATTAGTTGATTGCGTGAAACAAGAAAGTGGAAACACCAACAATGGCAACACAGCCAGGAAGTTTCTCCAATATTACGAAATTTTTGCTAAAATTATTAAAGTAGATGTTAGAATTTTGAAAAAACTGTATATTATGTTACAAGTTTTAGCTTCAGAAGAAAATATTGATACCGCGAAGTTTAGGGAATTTTGTATTGATCTGGCCAGACTTTATGTAAAACTGTACAAATGGTATCCAATGCCTTCTTTCTACCATATGATACTTATACATGGGGCTGATGTTATACAATCATTTATTCTTCCAATTGGACTCTTTTCGAAAGAAGTTCAAGAAGCAATGAACAAAGACTTCCGAAAATGCCGAGA